GGTATAAGGATAATCTGTTAATTAAAAATACCCACAGGTAGATGTCCAGTTTTTCAAGTCTACTACTACACATTTTCTCATACCACAGTCAACCTCATACTTGTGACTCCCGTCCCAGGTCGCAACAAATGTCCTACTCAACCTCTGATTCTTGTCAATCTTTTCTGCTATATTAGGACAGATTTCTCCTTAAAACTTTTGCATTCCAGATCTCTTTATTTGAATTCTCTGCATCAACCTTCTCCTTATCCATTCAAGCATCCCAATAATAGGTAACTCTCTTGCTTCTAATATGTAGTTGTTGAATGACTCATTTAAATTGTTTACCAGAATGTCACATTTACTACTTCCTGTAAAATGTGATCTACTCCAAAGAGTTGGTAAAATTCTGCTCAACCAGTCAGCAGCTTCTTTGTTTGCCTTGTCTAGTTCAATCATTGCCACTTCCATTCCTTTTTATTGCCAGTACTTGCAGCAGCCCAAAACATGTATTTCATTTCTTTTCCTCTGAACCTTTGGTTAAAATTCTGGTACATATGTCTCAAACAAAATCTATGTTCTGAATCTGGAAACACTTCATTGACGACATGGACAAGCCCTTTCTATCTATCTGAGATAAAGGTTCAAGGAATGTTATCTTGATATTTGCTGCTCAGATATGTGGCTGTTGCATGCTTATTTTGATATTCTCGAGCACACACATGCTCAACCTTCAGTGACTTTATTTGAAAGGTTGATTCATCTTGAATTGGTGTTGCCTGAATTCTCCAACTAAGACCTTTTGCACAGTTGGCAATAATTTTCTTGAAGTAGTTTTTCACCCAAGTAACTTCATAACCTTCTCTTACTAGCCATTCACACAACACAGATCTAAACACTCTAAAATTAGTAAACTTCTGCTCCACTTTCAGCTCAAAGTGTGGCTTCCTAAACTCAACTTTAGGATTAAAGTCAAGGCAGTCATCTTCTTCTCCACTATCAGATCTAAATTTGTCCAGCAACTCTTCATCCGGAACCATAGGTTCTTGCCAATCCTCTTCAGTCACCTCAGCATTCCTTACCCCAATCCTCTTCAGTCACCTTAACATTCCCTACCCTTTCATCTTCTTCTCTCAAATCTGACTCTCTAAATATTGCAGATGGTTTTTCAATGTTTATAGTTTCATTTTCTGATGGCCCTTAAGATGAAACAGGTCCCTTTTCAATGCTTACATCTTCAACTTCTGATGGCCTTTGAGATGAAACAAGTGATGTAATTTGCTGAATCACATCAGGTTCTCTATATTGTGAAGTTTTACTGGCCCTTTTCTTTTTCACAGAACTCCTTTTAGGAAAACTTTTTTCATCTGATTTTCCAGCAAATAAGAATACATGCACTGGCAATTTTGAAGAAGCACTGATGCCATCACCTTTTTTTATGTCTCCATCTACCCCTGCCCACCTTTTTTGTTGTAGTTGCTGTCTCCAACAGCATCTTTCTTCGGATTAAAGATATCTTCATCTTCTATTATTTTCAACCCATCTTTTAACCATTTTGGCTCTTCATCATCTTCATATGCCCCTGTCCCCGTAGTGTTAGTGACCCCACCATCTTTACATGCACCCATATCATGCCCTTTATTTTTTATTCCATCACTGACCCCACCATCTTCTGGCTCCTTTTCAAATGGCTCATCCCTACTGCAAGCATAAATTAGCCTCTTTTTAGGCAAATTCCAGTAGCACTGGTTCATTAATTCAATATTATTATTGTCTCTAATTGGGTGTAGACCACCTTTTAAATCCACATCTGGGACACAAAATCAAAAAGTTACTCTAGTTGCTTATTTATTTACTTTTTTAAACATTCTACACAGACTCACTAATGATAACTAATTTTTGATTTTGTCTTTGAAAATAGCCATGTGGGTTCCTGTGTAGTGGAGCCTTGGCTTTTCTCTAAACCTCCCACCAAAATACATGTGTATATCAACTTTGTTCTCGAATTTCTCCTCTGCTGCAGCATGATAAGCAATAAAGGACATTAGATATTAGTAATTTGTCTTTGACAACTACACAAAAAACTAACATAACATAATCAGAACAAACAATTCATTGTAGGTGGGATTGGGGACCACATTGGTCCACAACATGTCTACATATAAGTCATATTAAGATAATTACAGATTACAAAAACTGCCGTGCTTGACTAGTCATGGCATTTAACCGTAGTAATTGATCAATAGAAGTAATACTACACATTGATAGTATAAATTTAAGCCAAAAAGATGAACTGTCAGACTCAACAATTGAGTCAGACCAAAAAGAAGGGGTGACCAGAATAGGACATGAAACGCGTAGCCTTATCTTTGCCAAACAATTGAACCAAAGCTAGTAAACGAGGAACCTCTTCTATAAAGCTATCCCTTTTTAAGCTTTCAATAATTATCAAAACTTTAGCAATTTGAAAGGGGCGCTTAAGCTGTCTATCTATATAGCTAGGTTTGCTGGGCATAAATGAACAATCTTTGTCTTCATTACGTAAATACATGAAAAATATTATCTTTGTTAAATAATAGCCTCCCAATTTAATCTGAAATCAGTAAATAACATTTTCCCTTTCACATCATACCCTAAAACCCGAATGGAAATAGATGAGAGATGATATACTAACCCATTTTTCTTCGATTTTTCATCGTAAATCTTCACTCTCCTCCTATTTTCCGTCGATCTTGATATTTGATTGAAATAAGATTCGAAATTTTTTGCTAAAAATTGGCTACAAAAGGGGCTGTAATTGGTTACAAAAGGGGCTGCTTTTTCTTCAATTTTTCACCACAGATCTTCACTTCCTCGTATTTTCTGTTGATCTTGATATTTGATTGAAATAACAATCGAAATTTTTGCTGAAATTTGGCTACAAAAGGGGCTGCTCCATCTTCTCTCTAGGGTTTTTTTATTTCTTTCTCTCTTTCTTCAATGGTTTTGACAGAATAAAGAGCAAAATTACTTCTGTAATTGTCACTTATATCAAGAGGGTATTTTCGTCTTTTCACTCAGCTCTGTCTATTTTAACGATTTCCGTCGAATATTCACAATAATTCAAACCATGGGGTATCGATGCATATGATATGAAATTAGAGGGGATTTTTTTGTATGATAGCTATACCACAGGAGACTTTTTTGTTGTTTACCCTATAATTTATACTATTTGTAATTTATATATAGTTGTAAGCTTAAAAATAATATCGTCTATATAATACATAATAATATAGTTGCTGTGTGAGTTTGGATCGAGCTCGAAATAAGTTCAAAATCTTAATACCTTTATGAACCAATTATGAGTCTTATAAATATTAGTTCGAAATCAAAACTTCGAAGGTCCTAAGTTTTTTTTTTCGCTACTTTGTGTGAGCCAAGCTTGGACAACCCAACCTTGTAACACTAAAAGTTAAAGCAGGAAATGGAGAGATTAGAATATTAATTTTTCTTTCAACAGCACAAAGAAACACACGTATAAAGAATTAAGGTAATTCAAGTAGTTTACCCAAAAGGCAATTGCTTAGAAATTAGAATATTAGTAGAAGTACGAAAGTAAGTAAAAGAGAAAAAGAAAAAAGCAGTAATAAAAGTTTAGAAAGGAATGCACAGCTGCAAAAGCCAGCGGTAGTAGAACTCGTATAGTATATGGAGTATATAGCATAGTATAGGCAGTAGCCCGGCCACGAAGAAACGGCCATATCCTGACTGTCCGTCAAAAATAACGTCCGGGAAACCGGTGAAGTGGTGTAGTCAGGAGGGAGCAGAGGTGGGTGTTGAGCTGGGTTCAGAGACTGAAACAGAGGGGCAAGTGGAAATCAGAGTTTGATTCCATTTCCAGTGTCCATATCGATGGATCCTCTTTCCTTTATTTTCTCTCACATTGATGATTACTCCTGTTTGGTTATTGTCCTTTTCTCCTTCCTCTTCTGTTCACTTCTCTTGTCTTGTGTACTTCTTATCTGCCTTCTTTTCCCTGTTCCTGTCTACAATCTACACTAGTACCCTGTACCACTCCCCTCGTGACGTCCGTCCATTAACAACATTCCCGTTATCAATCCCCTCCCATTAACTCCATTCCCATTCCATACATTACCAACAACAAATGGACTAAATCCCTCTCTCTTTCTTCTCTTTCTCCTCTTCGGAAAACAAACAAACACTTGCCTTTCATTGACTTCCGTGGCGTCTCGTAGCCGTTTCACACACAATACACGCTTAAGAAAACACAGTCGGACTCAGCCTACTCAGACTTGTAAATCAGGTGATGTCTTGTGAGAATAAAGTAAAGATCATGTATCCATTGCTTTTGGTGTTTGGATTTCTTGCTCTTGCCTGTTCTGTCGTAGTAGAAATAGAATCAAGCACGTGTGATTGTGCATTATGATAATCTGATGATGGGTTTTAAATCAACAATCAACTCACACCCTTCTGTTTAGATTAAATCTTGGGAGTTGATCTCAACTTGGACTTTTTTAGATGATCTTGTTCTTCTTAGTTCATAAAGTTACACTAAGTTGCGAGAAAAGATATAGATGGGGATCAAGGGGTTTTGATTTCATTGATCAAGCTAAAGAATTCTACCTCAAACCATGTATGTTACCCCCTCAGGCACACGGCGGTATGTGAAACAAATCACACTTGGAAAAGTGTGGAGATCTAAGCTAGACTAGCAGTAGGAGGTGTAGGGGAAAAACTGATTTGCGTCGTGCAAGAAAGAGGGGATATTGGTCGCCTTGTCAGTTTGGATATCCTAAATCTGCTCTGCAGCAGCAGCCAGCAGGAGAATAGGGAATGTTGGGGTTGCGGCTTCCCTGTTAATGCACTGGCATTGTCCAAATGTGAATGCGTATTGTATGCCCAAACACCAGTCATTGTAGTGTATAATGCCAAAACATTTGTCGTGACTGGACTTTGGTCAAGCAGGGCCCAAAAATGTTTTCTTTTTTGCTTACAATCATCCCCTACAAAGTTTCTTTCTTTCTCATTAGAGATTAGACCCCATCCATATCTCGCAACATAAAATTACTTTTTCTTACCGTACACTAACTGCTTTAATTATTCACTTTGATCTGATTGTTTTTGTCTTCGATTCTACATTTGCCTAACCTCTAGTGCTGATAGTGTTCTATCAAATTTATCCATTTGCAGGTCTTGCGTTACTTGCAATTTGAAATTGCGTAACAAAGGAAGTCATTCCATGTTCAGATGGTAATCTCATTTATTTGTTGCAGTGCATGCAGAAGCAAATTTGCTCTGTGTTTGATGTGGCTTTCTTTTTTGGTGAAGGCAAATTTGATTCTTTTCTTGAAGCAGAGGAAGTTTGTCAACTTTTAACTGGCCAGTAACTATTTGGTAACTAAGGAGCAGACTCTCGTTTTTATAAGGAATTAGACTACTTTCAAAATGCTTTCGTATGAGCAAGATCCTGATGTTGTTCGGTGGGGTCTTCAGCTATTTGATGGTGATCCATACTCTAATTGTGGCTATTGTAGCACTATCCCTCAAAATAGCACAGGATGCTATGAAAATCACTATGGTTCAGTATTTAGTAACGTAGAGGAAAATGAGCTGGCTGCAAACTCACTTGAACAACAATTTTCTTATTTTACACTTACCGACCAGCCACAAGATTTCCTCCAAGGAGCGGAAAATGCACAGACATCTTGTTATCAACAACAGTGGTTCAATCAGTCTATGGAAAACTACCCATTCGGTAATGGAATTCACCAAGAATCAGTTATAGCTTTGATCACTTCATCTTCCTGCTGTATGTTATTCTGATCAATTCTTGCATTACTTTTGTTAGATGAGAATGGTAATGAAGAGGGAACAGACTTGGTAACTTCCAGTGCATATCCTACTCCTGGAGGAGAGTCATATTCTGGTGAATGGTCATACTCAACGGAACTCATGGATGAGAATGCTCTGGATGGTGAATTAGGCAGAAGGTTGAACCAAATGGTTCCAATTCCTGTAAGTGTAGCATCTGAATGGATATTCTCTTTATTACTAAAAACCTAGTAGAGTATACTTTGTCCTTCATGCAACTGGAAATGCGTTTTGAAACTGTTCCTCACTTTTAGCAATAACATGTTCTTTTTTCACTGACGTGCTTTCTAATTTTTCAATGTGGAACCAAGTTACAAGTAGCTGTACCTTTAATGTGGAGTTCTAAATGTCTATTTTATCAAGGTCCTGATTTTGTGCAGCACATCCCTAGAATTAATGGAGATATACCATCTCTCGACGAAGCAACTTTAGATCATCAAAGGCTTCTGGAAAGGTATTTGTTTTTACTTTTGGGACACAGCCAAATAAAACAGGCATATGTTCAAAGGTAGAGAACCAGTTTTATATATTAATATTAGCAATATTCAAGAAACCTGTCTCCTGGTCTCGATACTTGGCAGAACCTCTTGGGTTAACTGATACTACTGAACTCTCTCTGGGGAACGGTGATCTACTTCAAGCAATGGCCTCCAGTGAGGATATGTGTTTTAGTGCCTATTATGTTTTACCAAGACCACATAGACAAATTTTTAGCTTTTGAGTACACATCAATTCATGTATTATTATTGAACTTGGTAAGTTTTACTTATAAGATTGCAGGTTTACCAGCTGGTAGAGTGTAAAATTCAAGGTGATGGTAATTGTCAGGTTAGTTCTCTTACTTCTTTGAAGCATAGCAAAGGAATTTCATTTGGTACTATGCATATAAGCAAATGAAACTGCAGAAAATAAACAACTATTTTGTGAAAGATAACAACCTTTAAAAGGAAAATAGTTGAAGAATTCTCTTTTCACGGATCCAATTTGTCACTGGTGAAGAGTCTTTGATGAAATTGACTATAAACAAAAGTCCAAGATGAAATCTCAAAAAGTTAAGCTTCATTGTAATATTCTGATTAGACATAACATTGACAAAAGCCAGTCATCAAATGTTGCTAAACACTCATACAAGGTCCTGTAACTAGATTAGCTGCCCTTGTCAACTGCCTGCTTGTTCGTTCTGATGCCTTCCGACTATCTTCTGGTATTTATAGCTTATGTTGAATTAGAAAAGTTTTTTCTGGGAACATTTTTTGCACAGCGGATCTTTATCTCAAAACTCTTTGAAAGATACCATTCTTTTATTTATTGAAAACTTTTTTGTTCACTTTTCTCTTTACTGCACTGAGTACATTATAAACTGCCTTACAATGACTTATAGACAGCCGATGGTTATCATTCTTTTTCCTTTTGCAAGTTTCGAGCTCTGTCTGATCAATTTTACCGAACTCCTGAGCATCATGAGTTTGTGAGACAAGAAGTTGTGAACCAGGTTAGTGTAATGTTTACACAGTTCTTGAGGTCATCATATCACCTTGAAATTATGAATTTGTTCTTTTCTGATTGATTACGTATTCTTCGAAAATTACATTGAATAACCAGCTGAAGTCAAGCCCAGAGACTTATGAAGGATATGTTCCTATGGCTTACGATGATTATTTGGACAAGATGTCCAAGTACTGTTCTGACCTTGCTTGTTAAATAATGGGTTTGTTTGGATTGCGGTTTATTTGCCAAAATATATTTGCTTACATCATTATTACAATTTCCAACACACCTTTTTATCTTCCCAATTACCTTTTTATCTTCACATCACAAAAAGTGCTACAGTAAAAATATCTCTAATAATTCACAATCCAAACAAACCCAATCTACTGCTGGATAGAATGTGACCAATCTTGTCTAACACTGGATATCTATATTAGGAATGGTGAGTGGGGTGATCATGTGACTTTACAAGCTGCTGCAGATTCGGTAATTCTTGCTTGATTTTCTGCCCCACTGACAACAGCAAATTACCTCGTTGAAACTTTATGCTTCCACGTTGTTAGATATCAATGGGTCCACCAGTATAGAAATTATTTGTTGAAAGTTTGTTTTTTTTTTCTCCAATCATATGTTGAAATGTTGGTGTTTGCTGTGTCCAGTTACTATGTCAACTTCAACAGCATTAGAAACTCTTTCTAGTAAATGTTTTTTTGTCTTCGAAATTTTGCTTTGAGGATGCATTTTCAGGAGTTCTGTAGGGTTATGTTGCCATGCATGATGTACTTCTTCATGTATAAGATGTCTGACAACCTGGGTTCTGTCCGTTTGCTAAAGGCCTTGCATGCCCAATTAACAACTGATCTTAATGTTGCTAAGTGTAATCACTTAGACCAAACACTTATGCGTTCTGATACGCGTTAATGATTTGCTGCAGTATGGTGTAAAAATATTTGTCATAACTTCGTTCAAGGACACCTGTTACATTGAGATACTACCCAGCATTCAAAAATCTGAACGAGGTATAGTACATGTTTCACTGAAGTCTTTATCTAGACTTTTAAGCTGGGTGGTTAATTAATCGTTATTCTGTTTAAGCAGCTATCCATGTATATGTTATTGCCTTAGTTAGGCAACAGATGTCCGCTAGCTTTTTCCTGTGCTCAGCTAAGTTCTAAAACTTGCTAAATTACCTCAATAGATGAAATGAGTTGTAAGCAAATGTTTCCTTTTAGTCTATTAATGAAGCAACATACTATTGATTGTAAATATATGCCCTTACTTTGTAATTATTTGGACATGATACTGTAACCCACCTTGTTTTTGGGATCCTTCATCTCATCTCTGAGCTTTAAGAGCATTTTTGTTTTTCAGTTATTGCACCATTGAGAAAAGTTGTTTTCATACACAATTCACTTGTCTTGTATATTTTGCTGGAAACTTCAGAGTCTGGACTTACACATGGTACTCTACTTGCAGTTATATTCTTGAGCTTCTGGGCTGAGGTTCACTACAACTCTATATACCCTGAAGGAGGTACATCCTAGTTTTCTAGGTCAAAATTTCTCACCTCATATGATAGGGGCTATAAAGAATTCTCAACTGAGTCACTTTGAGTAATCAAATCCTGTCAATACTTTGGCATGGGCATATACTTCCCAGGACTGAACACAAGCAGAAAGATGCATCTTCCTCAAACTTATATAAGCTTCTGTTCTAGGCACAAAAACTAGAAATAGACAAGTGCAAGGATTAGATGGATTCCACATTGACCTTAACTTTCTTGTTCTTTTGGTTGTCATTTTTGTACTTCAGATTTAACCACATTTGGGACTAAGAGAAAGAAGAGGCGATCATTTCCTCGCCAGGAGCATTTCGAAATTCCAGATGATTTCAGTTGATAAAATATGGTAATAGAACTACTTGAAGCTATAGGTTTCTAAATCCATTTTGCAGTTGAGGAATAATGTAAAAGGTTGATGCTTTTCCCTTCCTCCTTGTTCCCCTCAGATTCGAAAGATAGCAGCTGTCTTGCACCTGCAAAACCTGCCGTGCTGCCATGCCGAACTCTTTATCATTGTCAATTCATGCCAGACAAAGCAAGCATGATATCAATTGTATTGATTCATAAATGTAAAGATTTCTGTTCTTTGCAACACTGGTGCGCCAATAATGTTTCCCATGTGAACAGGCACGTCTTCTTGATAATTGGCAGAATGTTGTCTTCATCTAATCTCAACTTTGTTAATATGGATAGAATCCTGTATTCCTGTTCTTCATACTGGATGCTTTGTTGCGCAATATTTTCAGGTTCAGTTTAACAACAATATTTCAGGGCTTCTAGTTTAGACTTCAGATGCCTTGTTCTTTTCTTTCAAATTGCGTAAGCACTAAAAATTACAGGTAACTAATATGGTCAGACAGCTCAATCTCCGTCCTGACCTTTGCAATCTTGGGCCTTGTTTGGGAATTAATACTAGCTTACAAGCTTGGGTATAAAGTGTGAACGACTATTGGCCAAGTACAATAAGCACACGGGAAAACAAAACTATTTCGAGTTTGTCCTAATTTTTCTTGATTTCCCATCCATGGATAACAGATTTTATAAAATTGATTTGTTTTTTGTTTCAAAAAATTACAACAGAAGCAGAATTTTCTGTGTGAAAACATATGATTCCTGCCTGCATAAATAGAGTTTAGCTTAAAAAAAGGGTTTTAAAATTAGAAGTGTTTAAATGAAAGTTAAAACAATGTGCCATCACAAGTGAAAAAAGAAAAAACTCTTGTCTCCAAAATCCAGCTCATTTGATAAAGATATTAGTTAGGTAATCGTGAAGTCCCTAATTACTTACTTATGATAAAGATATTAATTAATCAGGTAATTAAGAAGGCTCTAATTACTTAAGATTATAGCCTCGACGACTTAGAATAGTGGGTGACTATAAGGTCTCGAAATAGATAAAATTTCTCTTTAATTAGGTGACTATGAGATCCTAATTTGACTTTCAAGTCAAGTTTGAAGCCATCTCATCCTTCTATCAAAGCCTTAAATTCTCCAAAGTAAGGAAAAAAAAAAAAGAAATAGTACGTTTTTCTTAATTTTTATTGTTTTGATAAAACTCCTTCTTATTTGACCCAAAAAAAAAACTCCTTATTTTTCTCATAAGTCACAACCTAGAAAACATTGGAGAAGAAAAAATTAATACTCCACTAAAACAGACACAGAGGAGTTGTTAGTTAAAATAGAAACATTAAACATGCAAATGCAAAACAACGTAAAAACGCACAACCTGGGACTCAATCAAACGCTTGGTTCTGTTTCTCTTCTCCACTAGGGTTTTCACTCGTCGTCTGCTAAGGTCAGCCTTCTCTCTGTGTATCTCCATCAATTTTGTACTATAATTTAAGTGAAAAATTCTCGTTTTTGTTAGGTGAAGAATATTACATTTTCAATGAATGCGCCTGATTAAACCATCTGGACCCCTAAATTGTGAATTATGTTGTTTCAATTGATAAATCCTTTTAATGCATCAATTACACATCAATTTTGCTTGTTCTTTAACTATATTCAGAAAATCTCATCTGGGAGTGTGTATGAAGGAAAGTAAGTTGGAAAATAGGATGAGAACATTAGGTACTAGAAGTATGGTTAGAGGGAAATTAAATCTGACTTTTGTTATTAAGAAACTTTAGAAAGAAATTAGAAGGATTATTGCTCACATCTAACATTATTTTGCGCAAGAATTATAGGTCAAACTTTAACGATTGCTTTGTTTGGGAACGAAAAACGTTAGCTTCTACTTGAATTGCTGCACTAAAAGATGGTGGAAATTATATGAGCCTAGTCCGATGTCTTTTTCACAATTTTGGTACTTCTCCATGCTGGGCTTTTTGGTGAAAATTTCTTGTATACAAATTCCTCCCCCGGGTCCCCTGTTTTTTCCCATTTCTGCAAAAATACTTGTTAGAAAAAGATTCACTTTTTCTTCTTCTCTTTGTTTCCTTTCCTGTAAAAAGTCCCAAACGGAGCGAAGTATGATTTTTTTTAGTGTTTTTCTTTGCTTCCAATTTTTTCAACTCTCGCAGCTACTTTAAAGGCCAGAGAATTGCATGTTTGATTACCATCCTGAGAAGTGTGGCCAAATTATAAATTGTGTGAAAGGCTAAATTAGGAACGAAGATTTTAAACAATATATGTAATGCCAGTTTTATATGTCATGATGATGAAGTATCGTTTTATGTTCCTGCAATCAGTAAAATCATAAAGCAGTAATTGGTTTTTGTGAAGAGGTTGGGTGATTGGAGCGGAGAAGAAGCTATTACCTCCTGTGTGTAACCTCCTCACAGAATGCTGCAACCTAACTAACTCTCATTGATGTCACCTATCTTTTTTTTTCCTTATATATATATATGTGTGTGTGTGAACGCGCGCGCGCGCGCGCCCGCATAAACAGTGGATCAATTAACAATGCTCACATGTTCATTGCTGTGGCAATTAACAGGTTGCTTCAATTTTGAAGTGTTGCATTGATGTTAATCCATGTTACTCTTTAGTTTATATTTCTCATAGGCAAATCTGGTGGTTTGTTGAGAAGTAAATGTTTCCCCCTTGCTAGATATACGTGTGTTAAGAACTTGTGACTTTGAATGAAATGTCTCCTTGTTTAAGTTGAAGCAATGGGCGTACTGTTTAGACAAGATTTTTGTTCTTTTCCTTAGAAATGGCTATCACAGTGGACCAAGGTGAAGAACTTGAGTCTGGACCAGCTGATTGGACAGACTCAGAAGAGACAATTTTAATTCACTTAATGCTGAAAGAGATACAGAAAGGAAATAAACCTTTCACTACTTTTACAAAGACAGGCTGGAATAATATTGAAGCTGGGTTTAAAGAGAAGACTGGCAAGAGATACAGCCATCCACAGTTTAGAAATAAGTTCAATCAAATGAGGATACGCTATTTTGATTTCTGTATGCTGTCAAAAGAACCTGGTTTCACGTTGGACCCTGTGCTGGGTAAGCTAGATGCAACTGATGATGTCTGGAAATCAGCCATCAAGGTTAGTGCTGATATGGATGTACAAAGTATGACTATTTTCTTTTGAAATTTCTGAATATATGACCTGTTGAACTGCTTTCGTTTTAGGCAAACAAGAAGACAAAGAGATTCAGGAGAAGAGGGTGCCCTCTGTACAATGAGTTGGGGGTTATTTATGGTGAACCAGTGGGAAAGTCCACAAATGTTTCTCAGGTAGCTCAATGCTCTCTGGATACGGATGTTAAGTGTTTAGAAGATCAATCAACTAATGCTAGTCCATCGGAATCAGTTCGTGGAAGTAGTGACAACGAAGATTATCCTTCAAGAAGTGTCAGGCAACGTTGTCAAAAGTTGCCCTCCTTGAGGAATGAAGTACAAGAGGTGAAGGATTTGAGGCTGATTGTTGATGGCGGAGCTTTAGAGCCCACTCAAATCATAGTTCCTAGCAGTACAGCCAATAAGAAACATACTGACGTTGCCTACCTCAAACCATGTCGGAACACTTCCATCTAGCAGCCCCTTTTCAATCACGAATTGTGTGAGGTGCCTGGAGTCTATCCAAGGGATTGATGCTACCACTTACCTGAAGGCAATCAAAATGTTCAAAGATGTTGATTGGAGGGAGATGTTCATGGCTATGTCAGCTGAAAGAAGACTCGATTGGTTGGCAAGCTTGGATTGAACTTGGTAGCAGTTGAATTTGTGTAGTTATCTAGTTACTGTACTTATGTGATCGCACTAAATCTGGACTAATGGGTGCGGTGCGGTGCGGTGCGGTGTTTACCTTTGTGCATAATGTTAGATATTACCATAAAAAGATTTGATGCATAAGCTCTCAATTTGTAGTTGGTTTTTTCCGAGTTCAAAGTAACAGCACCAAGCTATGCAGTACTTTATCAAAGCTCAGAACTCGAATTTTATTTGTCAACTAATCAAACCAATCCCTGACAAAAGATAATTTTTAACAATAAGTGTATTTAGTTAGTAGTTTATTTAATAAATAAAATTAACGGACTATGAGAAGATACATTAATATAATAACGAATTTTGAAGAGGAATGACCGAGCATCCGCAATTATCTAGTCATTAATTATCTTGATCTGTTGTACTTGAAGCCAATTTGTGGCTGCTTTGATACAAGGCTACATAAAATTTGCCTTCCTAGGGGGAAGGTATTTGGGGGTTTTGCTGAGCTGTTTTTGGTTTTTATCAAACTATCTTGCTCATTCCAATCATTTGGTTCGGTAATTTTGATAATAGATTTTTCTCTAAGATCTTCATGCTTCATAAAGTTAGATATTAATGTAAAGGGATAATAATTTCAGAAACCTCCCTTTAAATTTCTAACAATTTCACTAGCTTGCTCTAAAGTTTGCAAAATTACACAAACTTCCCTGAAATTAAGATCTTGATAACAAAAAGTAGTCCAATTAGAAAAAGCTAAATATAATTAGAGAGCTGTCGATAAGAGATTTGAGGGCTCCTACTGTCCGCTGCCTACATTGAGAGTTTTCGATGCTAAAATTAATTCATGGATACCAAAAGCTAAATATAAGAGAAAAATGAGTAGTAAGAGGCAAGAAATACCTAATTCAGAATTGCTAATTTGCCATCAAATCACGCTTCTAATAAGAGCAACTGCTCCTAAGTCCTACCCCCTTTCATAACTCACAGTTTTTTGTATGAGTGTTTCGATAAATGGACTCTGCGAAGACACTTCAAAACCCCCATTAATAGCAAAAGGGATAGCACATAACGCTGTGGTCCCCAGGAGTATCTAGTTTTGTACTTACGTCACGGGCGCCCCATCAGTCAAAGTCCGGTCAACACAAGGGAAGGGCGTCAGCGTCTGAGCGTCAGTCTAAATAAAAATCCAAAAAATTTCCAACAAAACAAACGAACCTTAGTAACTGCTCCATAGTTTTAATTTTCACGGATCGAAAACAACATCGTTCACTTCGCCTCCTCTTTTCGCTGCTTGCATCAATAGCGATGTAAACGACATCGTGTCAAACAGTCCCCCTCCCTCCGCCGGAAATATCTCATAGGGTTCCTGCTTCGGGAATTGAGACCAGGCAGTGGTCGGAGAACTATTAGAGGCAACGACGGTGGAAGAGGTTTCCGAGGCGGACGGAAGGTGAACATTTCGAAGCAGCCACTCCACCGTCTGGCCGTTTGTGCGGTGGCCGAGCTCGCGAGTGAGCTGGAAGATACGGGCGGCGCAGAGCGCTGGCAGCCGCACACGGTGGCCACCTCTGGTGGCTTTCAGCTTGTTTTTACTACGGCCGTCGCCTTTTCCATGCTCGT